AAATTTCTGAAAATACGATCAACCTTAGTGATCTTAATATCGTTAATAATAATAAAATATTTCATTTTTATTGTGACATTAGAAAAAAAGAAGTTTAGGTGGCTTTAACGAAAACTAGGGGTGAAAAGTTTATAGGACCTGATGATATCCAAATTGTGGTGTGGAAATATTTAGGAGATTTGGGAGTTTCTTGGCTTACTAAATTCTTTAATATTATTTTAAAAACTAAAAAAGATACCTAAGGAGTTGAGGAAGAGTATTTTGGTCCCCATTTTTAAGAATAAAGGGGATACACAAAAGTGTGCAAATCATAAAGGAATTAAGTTGATGTGTCACACTTTAAAATTCTGGGAGAGGGTAATTGAACATATGTTAAGACATATTTCCCATAATCAATTTGGATTTATGTTGGGCAGGTCTACTATGGAAGTTATAAATTTATTGAGAGATTTGATGGAGAAGTTCAAAAATATAAAAGAGGATTTACATTTGATTTTTATTGATTCAGAAAAATCTTACAATAAGATTCCAAGAGAAATCCTTTGTACAGTTCTTGAGAAGAAAGGTGTAGATATATTTCTTAGAAGAAAGGTGTTGATATGACTTATATTCAAATCGTTAAGGATATGTAAACTAGAGCTGTTACCTACGTTCGAACTGGAGGATTGACCAAATATTTTCCTATTTTTGTTAGATTACATCAGGGATCGACTTTAAGCCCATATATTTTTGTTTTAGCTATGAATGGTCTTATTGGAAATTTACAAGAGGATGTACCTTGGTGTACGCTTTTTGCTGATGATATCCTTCTCGTGGATAAGATGAGAGAAAAAACCCAAGAAAACAAGAATTATGGAGGTCTACACTGGAGTCTAAAGGCCTTCATTTGAGTAGAACTAAAACTGAATACATGGAATGTAATTTTAGTAGTAATAGCTTTAGTGACAAAAGTGCAACTTTGGGAGATCAGATTATTAAAAGGTGGGAATAATTTAGATATCTCAGGTTTGTTGTTCAAAGCAATGGTGATATATATGGGGATGTTAATAGTAGAATTCAAGTTGGTTGGTTGAAGTGGAGGAATACTTCGAGCATTTTGTGTGATAGAAAAATACCGCTTAGACTAAAGGAAAAATTTTATAAGATGGTGGTGAGACCCGCAATGCTCTATGACACTAAATGTTACACTAAATGTTGGCCTTTAAA